TCAGGTCACGAGAGTGTCTGATTGGCCAACAGGGGTTCTGTGCCCACCCTGGACTGTCCTAAGCTCTGGCCTCTCCACCCTCCTGTCTGCTGGTTCCTCAGATGTAAGAACCTGGAGTTTTTCCTCCCACCACAATCACAAACATAGCAGAAAGGCAATGTAGAGAAAAAAGAAAGGAAGGAAAAAGGCTAGGGTCCCATTAGGGAGGGAAATGGCCTCTGGGCAGCCAGCCATTATTAGGTGACTCTGTATTAGGGCAGCCAGACTGGTAGCTGCAACGTAGTGTGATGTGAGAAGTGCTTGGGAACCGGGAGGGAGGCCTGCGCTCGGGAACCCCAGCTCTGTGTTCCCGAGTCTGGTCAGTGAATGCCTGTACAGGAGGTGAAAGGATGGGGAGGCTGGGTCGCTGGAGCCAGGACAGGTGGCAGAGCGGGCTCAAAGGAGGAATGTTCTAGACACTGCTGAGGCTGGAGTTAAGATGGTGTGTGACCTTGAGAGATGAGAGAAAGGAGAAGGGACTTACCAAGGGTCCCATAGAAACGTGACGGAGCTTAGTGAGCCACGCTCAGCGCTGGCCGCTTGGCATGTGCCGCCTATGTGGCCACCCAGATGAAGATCAGTTGAAGGTGGCTGAACTGGGTGACAGCTGAGGTAGGAGTGACGGGACGCAAGAGAAGCTGGTCCTTGGGTGGTGACTGAGAAAGAGCACTATGGCACAGGGGCATCTGAGCACTGTGGGTCAGCGAGGGAGGAGAGCGTGGCAGCTCCCCGACACAGGCAGCTGGCGAGGAAGGAGAGGGTAAGAGCCGGGGACATGAGCAGCCGAGTGGGTGCGTGGTTTCGGCAGCGAGGGCACCACAGTAGGAAGTGGTTGTGGTTCTCTCTCTCTCTCTCCAAGAAAGTACAGTAAACACATTCACGTTTCTGAAAAATGAGGCTGGACAACAAACCGGAGGTGGTGGTGAGAAGAGGGCAAGGGCAGAGAGGGGTGTGGGCTCAGTCCCCTGCAGATGGGGTATTTGGAAAGTCCGATCTATTAGAATGCTTTTGATCTGCCCACAGACCACATTTTCCTGAACGACATTCAGGGGGGCCTGTTGGGTGGAAAATGTGAATTGTTACTTTCAGAAGGAGTTGGGACTTGCCACTGGGTCATATAGGGTGGACAGAGTAGCTGCTGCCCACGAAATATCCTGTCACTCACTCAGTAAGAGATGGTTCTTGAATGTCTGATTACCTTGTGTCTCAGGTTCCTAGAGCTGAGCAGTCCGCAGGGTCTTTCCGGCAAAGCCGAGGGCAGAGTCTCGTAAAGCATAGTCAGGCTTGTGGGCCTGCAGAGAGTGGTTTTGCATAGTGTAGGAGAGGAAGAAAGCACCAAAGCCCTTTGCACTGGGGGCAAAAGAGAATGCTTCCTGGAATAAAGGACCCTCAAGTTGACCCTTGCCAGGAGCAGGCAGCATGGGAGTGGGGAGAAGGGCATCTCAAGAAGGAAGCATACACGTGCAGAGAGAGGCACGGAGGCCGGAAATTGGCCTCATGTCCCATCGCAGTTTTCCAGCTGCTGAGGCCTTTTACCGCGTCTTTAATCCACCCGTTTGTTATTGCCGATTTTTAATTTAAGTTGCTTTTTGATGTAAACTACTGGGCCAATAGGTGGCATGGAGATTAAGATGTTGGATCCAACATGGCAGGCTGTACAGTTTGAGTCCCCACCAGAGGCTTGAAAATCATGCTGGTGCATGCATGTGTGTGCCCCAAGTCCCAAAAGGAGAACGGAGAAGGGATTGCAGCATGGCCATCCCTTAGGCGAGTCATTTATCACTTTCTCTGTCTCTCTGTCAAAAGCACTCACCCAACAGCAAAAAACAAGCAAAACAAAACAAAAAACAGACCAAAAAACTACTTAAAATCAAAGATTGGATCTCTGCTATTAATTGCCTGTCAGAATTACTGCCATTGTTTTTTTTTTTTGAATTGCCAGAGGGTATGTGCCCTTACCAGAGAGAGACAGAGAGGGAGGGAGAGAGAGAAAGCACTCCTCAGTGGGGCATGGTCATGCCACATCGTTTCTCCAGCATTTCTCCATCTCGTCAGGATTCAAGCACCCATACACATGCACCCAGTGTATTTCTCAAGCCAGCAGCGCCCCCCGACACGGGCAGCTGGCGAGGAAGGAGAGGGTAAGAGCCGGGGACATGAGCAGCCGAGTGGGTGCGTGGTTTCGGCAGCGAGGGCACCACAGTAGGAAGTGGTTGTGGTTCTCTCTCTCTCTCTCTCCAAGAAAGTACAGTAAACACATTCACGTTTCTGAAAAATGAGGCTGGACAACAAACCGGAGGTGGTGGTGAGAAGAGGGCAAGGGCAGAGAGGGGTGTGGGCTCAGTCCCCTGCAGATGGGGTATTTGGAAAGTCCGATCTATTAGAATGCTTTTGATCTGCCCACAGACCACATTTTCCTGAACGACATTCAGGGGGGCCTGTTGGGTGGAAAATGTGAATTGTTACTTTCAGAAGGAGTTGGGACTTGCCACTGGGTCATATAGGGTGGACAGAGTAGCTGCTGCCCACGAAATATCCTGTCACTCACTCAGTAAGAGATGGTTCTTGAATGTCTGATTACCTTGTGTCTCAGGTTCCTAGAGCTGAGCAGTCCGCAGGGTCTTTCCGGCAAAGCCGAGGGCAGAGTCTCGTAAAGCATAGTCAGGCTTGTGGGCCTGCAGAGAGTGGTTTTGCATAGTGTAGGAGAGGAAGAAAGCACCAAAGCCCTTTGCACTGGGGGCAAAAGAGAATGCTTCCTGGAATAAAGGACCCTCAAGTTGACCCTTGCCAGGAGCAGGCAGCATGGGAGTGGGGAGAAGGGCATCTCAAGAAGGAAGCATACACGTGCAGAGAGAGGCACGGAGGCCGGAAATTGGCCTCATGTCCCATCGCAGTTTTCCAGCTGCTGAGGCCTTTTACCGCGTCTTTAATCCACCCGTTTGTTATTGCCGATTTTTAATTTAAGTTGCTTTTTGATGTAAACTACTGGGCCAATAGGTGGCATGGAGATTAAGATGTTGGATCCAACATGGCAGGCTGTACAGTTTGAGTCCCCACCAGAGGCTTGAAAATCATGCTGGTGCATGCATGTGTGTGCCCCAAGTCCCAAAAGGAGAACGGAGAAGGGATTGCAGCATGGCCATCCCTTAGGCGAGTCATTTATCACTTTCTCTGTCTCTCTGTCAAAAGCACTCACCCAACAGCAAAAAACAAGCAAAACAAAACAAAAAACAGACCAAAAAACTACTTAAAATCAAAGATTGGATCTCTGCTATTAATTGCCTGTCAGAATTACTGCCATTGTTTTTTTTTTTTGAATTGCCAGAGGGTATGTGCCCTTACCAGAGAGAGACAGAGAGGGAGGGAGAGAGAGAAAGCACTCCTCAGTGGGGCATGGTCATGCCACATCGTTTCTCCAGCATTTCTCCATCTCGTCAGGATTCAAGCACCCATACACATGCACCCAGTGTATTTCTCAAGCCAGCAGGTCTAGGACTCAAACTGCATGATTGGCCTTGTGGGATCCAGCTCTCTGAACCTGAGTCCAGTCTGCTTCTTTGATAGTGCTTGTTTTGAGTTTGTATTGTTGCTGTGTCTATCACATGGCCATGTTCTCCACTGTTACCAATGTGACCTTTTTTTTTTTTTAAGTATTATTGTATCTAATTTTATTTATTTATTGGTTTGACGAGAGAGAGAGAGAGAGAGAGAGAGAGAGAGAGAGAGAGAGAGAGGCAGACTGCCAGGCCTGGGACTTGAACTACCGTTAGCCATATGGCAGTCCAGCGCCTTTACCACCATGCCACCTGCTGACCCCATGACCTTTTGTTTGTTTTTAACTTTATTAACCTTTAGTTAGACAAGTAGCTTAGAGATCCTTTCTCTAGATAAGAAGTCAGACACATAAACTCTCATGCCTTGTGACACTCCCTCTTAGTGGTAGCTAGCTTAGAGGCAACCTTCCAGGCCTTCTTTCTGCAGTGTTTTGTTGGTGTTGTTCATTGTTTTAAACATAACAGCATGTTGTCTGTTCTTTTTCTGCTGTTTTTTTTTCCCCCAGAGTGACTTTCTAAGGCATGAATTTTTTGAAGTTTATTATTTTAATATGTGAAAACAGTAATACATAGTCTTGGCTTAAAGAGCTTTACAATATGAAAGGGTAATTCTGAGACACCGCTGACCACATCCCTCCTCTGCTCCTGAGGGCGCCCTGGGAGAACAGCTGTGCCTCCCCCTCTTGTGGGCCCTGTACGATTGGCCCCACTTCCCCCAGAAGCCATCTGCCATTCTGCCCTCATTCCTTCCCCAGCTAGTCAGCATCCATCTACCTGAGCCCCCTGCAGAATTGGCTCTCTGGGTACCTTGTCCTCGAATGGAGTGCCCGACAGTGCTTTTGGGCTGCAAGCCTCTTGTCAGGGCCTCTCCTTTTGTCAGTGCTTGATGTGATCTCCTGTTCCTGACTGTGATTGTTGTCACTGTTACACGGCCGGGATGCACACAGGGCCTGGCAGGTGAGTGCTGAGTAAATGGATATGGAATGAAGGGGAGAAGGAATGCAGATATGCCCGAGGTGTGTGTGAGGACATGGTGGGAGCTGGGATGGGGTGCTCTGTGCAGGAGCCCATGCAGGTTCTGAGCTCATCCAGTGAAGCATTGAAGGTGCTGATTGGGGATCAGTGACTGGGAGGCAGGCTGGGGGCTGCGGGCAAACACAGGAAGACCACAGCAGTCTTGATGGTCTAGATACCATCTGCAGGGCCTTTGACCTTACAGAGCCCTCTGTCTGTGCCTTCCAATGCTCCAGGAAGAAAGAAGCCACAGGGTGTTGGCACTCACCCAAGAGGGTACAGCCTTCACCCGTTTCTGGCTTTGCTGTCCCATGTGCTCAGATGGGATGAGTGAAACAAGGCATACTTTTTTGGTGACGCCCTTCCCTCTTCTTGTTGCTTGTTTATTTCCAGGCAATGCTACTGTGGAGAATTTGGAGGATTTCATCAACAACATTAACAGTGTCTTGGAGTCCTTGTACATTGAGATAAAGAAAGGAGTCACCGAAGATGATGGGAGGCCCATTTACGCTCTGGTAAGTGCAAGGCAGAGCCCTCTCGTGGCATTTTGAGGAACTAGAAGAGCCCTCCCTTGTTTGTAGAGAATAAGTGCGCAGTGCCTTGAAGAGAGCTCTGAGGTGAGGGGGAGAAAGAACGGAAGTTGGCCGACCCCACTGAGCCAGTGCACATTTTTGGGCTCACCACAGGTCTGAGGCCTACATTGCCCTTGGGTTATCAGGGTCAGGGTAACTGGAACTAGAGCCTGAGGCCCCTGACCTCGTGCTCTGGTCCCTGCACACACAGCTCCTCTGCTGCGACGTGGCAGCTGGCGTTTGCTGGGGTTTGATTCTGCATTATGACAGTTCTCTGCAAGGAAGTAACTTCACATGTCTGAAATACTGGGACTAAAGGGAGAAAAGATTTCCCACCTGGAACAAGACAAAGGATCTGTGAAAAGAAAAAGTGTGCTGGGAGCTTTAAAGGATTAAAGCCCCTTGTTTTAGATTTGCCCTTGCAGGTGGGTAGCTTGGGAAGCTGGCGGCCCCCCATCCTTGGCTTGGGCACACTCAGACTGCGGTCGAGGATGGGGATGTTGACTGAGCCGAGGCTCAAAGTCTGTGCTGTAAGACTGGTTAAGTCCACCCCTGTGGCCTGCTGTGCCTGGGCACCAGCGCCCAGTGATGGTGAGAGAGGAGGGGAGCGAGGGCAAGCCCACAGTGAAGGAAGCTGAGGGAAGGGCACGGTCTGACTGTCATGCTCTTACTCTGTAGGTGAACCTGGCTACAACTTCAGTTTCTAAAATGGCCACAGATTTTGCTGAGAACGAGCTGGACCTGTTCCGAAAGGCTGTGAGTATAGTAGCTCCTACTGCCTGTTGGCCGGGCTTCTTGTGGGAGGAAGTGGAAGCTGTGATCTTCGAGGGTCTCTGGGGAATACAGGTCACCATCGCTGCCTGAGAAAGTCCTCGGAGGGTTGTATCACTGTGTAGCACATCTGGAATTCAAGGTCCCCCCATCCCTACCCTGGCACAGCTGCCTGGGAAAGAAGGGCTGGCTGGTCAGGCGTGAGCCCTGACAGGGTGAGCAAGTACAGGGCTTCAGGGGCAGTGACGCGTTCCTTCCCAGCCGTTCAAAGTGCCGTCCAGAGTGGCAGCAGCAGTAGCAGTAGCACCTCCTGGGAGATGGTGAGGAAGGCTGAGCTCCAGTCCCCACCCTGACTGTTGGATCCAGCCTGCATTTTCACAAGCTGCCTGCTGAGTCGTTTGCCCATTTAGTTTGAGAGGTGTTGTCCTACTGGGCTTCAGAGCTGTGTGCTTCGCCCTCGCTCTCGTGTCTCACACCTAGCCAAGCACCTGGCTGAGAGTGGTTTCAGACCTCAATGCAATTACAGTAACTGCAGACGTAAAAGAGAATTAGACACTTGGGCCCCACTCCAGATCTGTTGAATCCACATCTCCAAGGACCAGGTTTTAGCATCATTACTCCTGGGAACAGTTAGCAGCCAAAGGGGAAGAACCACACTCCCAAAGGAGTGGCACACACCTGTGATAAGGAAAGTGGCTTCGCCCCTTGGTTCCCCTTGGTTCCCGCCCTCCCTCAAGCAGAGGTTTTGGGAGCTTGCCTGGCCCTCAGTCTACATTGCTTCTGCAGTCTCAGAGCTTTCTCTCTTCCTAGCCTGGCTTGGCTCAGGTCTGCTACCAAGGCCAGTCATGACAGTCCACCCACTGCTGAGTAAGAGGAAGTCCCCCTGTTCATTCATAGCTTCCTACTTTCAGGGAGTTGGGGCGGGAAGCAAAAGAGGCGAAGTGACCTTTTTTTCTTTTTAAATATTGTTTATTATTATTATTTTAATTTGACCAGAGAGAGACAGAGAGAGAAAGGGGAAGTGAGAAAGCAAGCCGCTAGGTCTGGGGCCTGAACCACGGTCAGCCATGCGAGAGTCCAGTGCCCTAACCACCGTGCCACCTGCTGGCCCTGAGGTGGCCTTTCTTGATTTTGGACATTAAGATGATTTATTTGGGATGCCCTTATATAGGAGTGACCTTTGAGGCAAAAGGATGCTTTTTGATACATATAACTAGATTGTTTTCATGAAGCATCATACCAGCGTACCGCCCTGCCTGTGACACAAGTAGTTTTACTGCCTCCCTGCCAGGAGTGCCATCATCACTTAAACGTTGCTTTTGCCATTTAATAGATGACACCTGCTGTTTCTTCTAGTTGGAGTTGATTATTGACTCAGAGACTGGCTTCGCTTCTTCCACAAACATTTTGAACATGGTCGATCAACTTAAGGGCAAGAAGATGAGGAAGAAGGAAGCCGAGCAGGTGCTACAGAAGTTCGTACAAAGCAAATGGCTGATTGAGGTACTTGGAGAGCTTCCCAGCCTCGCTCACTTTTTAGAATGAACAACAATTTTCCCCCAAAACCATGTTTGAATCCAGCCAATGTCTGTTGAGCCAGGTCCTGTCAGGTTCCTTATCTGCTTTAGTGCCCACAGTGACCCTGTGAAGGATTTGGGACCCCCGTCCTCATTTATTCATATGACCTGTCCACAGTGCCACAGCCCGAAGTGGCAGAGCCAGAAGTGGCACCTAGGTTTTAGGCTTCATGACTGCAACCCACCCCCTGGCCATGAGTGTGAGGCAGTATGGTTCAGTGGGTACCAGCATAGCTCTAGGGTCTGACGTGGCTCCAAGTCCCCTTCCTAGGTCACTTCACATTCTCCGTCTATTAACTGGGGAGTAGTAGCATCCAGCTCGTGGTGGGGTAATAGCCCTGGCAGTGTAGGAAGCGGGAATGCAACAGTCCAATGAAGTGCCTAGTGCCAGGTTCTTGGTACGTGGAGCAGGCTAGCAAAGCAGTGGCTATTGCTGTCCTCATTAACATTATGTCACTCAGGGCTGGTGTTCTTGGTTCTGAGTCAGGCAGTAGTCCTTAGGAGCACAGAGGAAGTGTTGACAGACTTGGGAGGAGGAGTGGAAATCTGGGAAGGGACCAGACTTCGTATCTAGTCTGCTGGAGCAGAACAAATGTCTCTTTTCTTTTTCCCCAAAGGCACTGCTGTTTCCAAGATCTTGGTGTTTGCCGATTTCCCATAGCTCTGCCCCAGCAGTGCCTGTGCCTGTGTCACTGCAGGATGTGCCCGGTCGGTCCTCAGCCTCCTCACTTGGGGTCAGACCCATGGCTAGACACTGGCTTGTGGCTGAAGTGGTTCCTCACTTCCTTCTCTCGGAAAGCTGAGATGGCCCTGGCTGTCATAGTTCTGAGTTATTGTTTTCTGTTGGGTTGTTGGAAAAGTTATGATGTATTTTTGCTTATGAAAATATAGAAAAAATGTGAAACTCAGTAAGTGGGATGAGCACACCCCTGGCCATCTGACTCGAATTCAGTTCCTGGGGTGCTCAATAAGAGGAAAGGGCAGGAGTGGTCATGGGGTGGGGTGGTGGTGATGAGGGCAGTGCTGCAGGGAGGGGCCCTGGGCAGTGCCCTGCTCTGCTAAGCATGTCCTTGGGCATCAGGTCCTGTAGTCCTCCTGCCACGCTGTTATGGGCCATGGCCTGGCCCATGATAGACTGATAGACTGCAGCTCAGTGGTTAGGTTTCAGTGACACCCTGAGGCAGTAGAGCCCAAGTTCAGGCCGAGGTTTGGTGACTGCAGCTCCCACCAATTGCTGTGTCAGTTTTCCTTTCTGTCTAGGTGAACTGGGCAATATGGAATGTTCTTAGGCAGCTCAGGTTATAATTGACCACTCACTCTTGTGGTGAACTCTGTCTTTGGGCCAGTGCTTTTAATTTTTTTAAGACAGGGTTTTTTGCTGTGTCACCTGGCTCAACCTTTCGAGTAGTTGGGATCATAGGCACGTGCCACTACACCCAGCCTTCTCAGACAGAGTCTTTTTTTTTTTTTTTTTTTTTTGGAAGTTTTTGTTTTTGGGC